GCAACAGACATTTCCCTGGCGACAGGGGAGCACTGAGTCGCCGGTGGTGTACATGGTAGAAAATATCTGATCATCAATGGCATGAAAGGTGCAATTTCTCCGGCACACAAGGGAATACGCGTAGACACAGAGGGCCGTGAATGTCGTCACAAAATAACAGACAGGCTCCATGACATCCCAACCGTACACAATAAACGTCAGATACGCTAAGACAGTCATTTGTGTCCCGCTAAGTAATGAAACAATCGCCCAGAATTCGCGACGACGAACCCCACCTTTCTGCTCAACTCTCAAAGTAGCACAGGATTGTTGAACGGGGCATTGTTGCAAATTCATCGGATTTCCTCGAGAAAGGGTAGGAAGTTCCAATTTTAAATGTACGGCATTCACCACATCAGAAGGCCTAATGTAGACGTACCCACCAATGACGATTACTTCCCGTGAATGTTGGAGCTTCTCTAGGTACTGCGCAGCCTCACACTTCGTCATGCGTTCATGAGAAGGTGCATACAAGTTTGTGGTACATATTGCAATAAAATCCTCCGTTGTGATTATCCTTTTACCGCTGCAATCCAATGCACATCGTGCCCGCAGTTTCTTTTTGAGACATTGCACACTCATTGATGAGTCCCATAGCGCTCGTGTCTTCTGAATCATGAGCTTCACACCACCCGACAAAAACAGCAAGAAATAAAAAAAAAAAAAAAAAAAGGAACACGGTTTTACATAATCGCCCACACACAAGCATACAGGCAAATATACATATATATATATATTCTTCTGAAGAAGAGAGACTTATAATTTTATAATCGTCAAAATGCCAGCTGCTATTCCTCTTTTTCTTTTTCTTTTTTCTTTTCTTTTTGCGAAGCTCCATTTGAGAAGCTTTTTTTCTTTTTTCCTTCCTTTTTTTTTGTTTGTTCATCTTATTGCTGCTGTTGGGTTTTCACCTTTGCAAGTGAATACACATTGGCGTGGGAGAAGAGGTAAAAGGAGTTGGCAAAGGTTCACAAATCCATATAAAAGACTTCGTCTGCGGCATTAAATCTGGTCCAAGTAGTCTTTCAATTGGTCCACAGTGAAAAGCTCAAACTTTCCCTCACTCACCCGTCCTACCTGCGTGTTTTCTGCTGTCATCGTTCCATCAAAGCCTTCCTTCAGAGTCAGGAGGGCTGTATGCACCGCATCCTCTATTTCCATTTCATTTGTGTAGCGCTTCTCCAGGAATGTTTTGGCGTCGGTGCTTCCCTTGCCAATCGAGGTGGCCTTCCACGCCCAAAAAGTGCCACTGGGGTCCACCTGATAGAGATGGTTGCCCTGGGAGTCGGCACCAGCAACAAGAAGCGAGCAGCCAAAAGGTCTAACACCACCAGATTGCGTGAACTCTTGATACAGAGAGCTTATTTGGCGAACGAGTTGACTAACCGGCATGGGCTCATGGTAAGTCAGACGGTACTTTTGGCACGCTTTTCGGGCAGCATCAACAAGCACCCGACAATCAGGACCAATTCCGCTGTACGTGCAGCCAACATGATCATCAAGAACAAAAACCTTTTGCACCGTCAAAGATGCAGCAAGAGG